TACTAGACACAGTACCATCACTCAAACGTACTAGACCAAAACCTTCAAAACTGTACAGACACGTACCATCCTTAACAAATGTATGCACGTCCAAATCATTCATCATGAAATGACAAGTACCCCAATCACACATGTATAACCAGTACCATCATCACAACAGTCTAGCACAAAAACCATCACTCACAACATGTACTAGACCGAACGATCACTCACAAACATGTATGACACAGTCCATCATCACAAATTACTAAAACCAGTCCCATCCTCAAAAGTATGCCCAGTCCTCACTCACAAATGTACTAGACACAGAACCATACTCAAAAACCTGTATAGACACAGTACCTCACCAAAAAATGTACTAACCGTCCATCATCAAAATATCCCAGACCTTTCCACCAACAAATTGCAGTGCACAAAGTCCCTATCAAACCAGTTGACGCGTACCCCCACCCATATGCAGTGAAACAGTAACCACCAAACATGCAGGGGAACGTACCCCCACTAATCATGCAGTGGACCCTTCCCACTCAAAACAGCAGGGACACAGTCCATACACACAATATGCAGTGGACACAGTACCCCCCTCACAAAATGGGGGGCCCCATACCACCACCCCAACATGCAGTGGGACACAGTCCCACCACTCAAAACTGCATGGAAAAAGGACCACCCCCCAAAACATGAGTGGAACAGTACCACCCTCCCAACAGCAGCAGCCCACATACCACTTTCCCAAAAACATGTCCAGCCAGACCTCATTAAAACATGTAGGGACACGTACCACCACACACAATTGCAGTGGACACAGTACACACCACTCACAACATGCAGGGGGACACAGTACCACCACTCACACATGAGCTGAACAGTTACCATCTTTCACAACATGTAACCAGACACAGTACCTCAGTCATAAACTGTAGTGGACACAGTGACCAACCACTAACAAACATGCAGTAGACACTGTAACCCCCACTCACAATATGCAGTGGTAAACAAGTACCACCACTATTTGCATATGAACACTGTGCCAGCACTCAACATGCAGGGGACACCAGTTTCCACCATCCAAACATGAATGTGGTACAGTACCACACACACAATATGCAGTGGACATAGTACCATCCAACACATCATGCAGTGGAAACGTACACCACAACACAATATGCTGAGGACACAGTACCACCAACACATTTCATGCAAGTGGACCACAGTCTCCTCCATACAACATGCAGCGCAACAGTACCACTCCACAATACAATTGCAGTGGAACACAGTACCACCACACACATCATTGCAGTGGGACACAGTACACACACACAACTTGCAGTGGGACACAGTACCCACAACAAAATTTGCAGTGGTCACAGTTCACCACTAACAACATGCAGGGGCACTCAGTACCGCCATCACACAACATGCATGTGGACACTGAGTACCACCACTCTCAACCATGCAATGGACACAGTACCAGCATCACAACATGGCAGTGGCACACAGTACACAATCACAACATTCAGGTAGCTCACAGTGACACCATCACAAACATGCAGTAGACACAGTACCACCATTCACAACATGAAGTGGACCCACAGTACCCAGAACTCACAACATGCAGTGGGACACAGTACCAACCTCTAAGCATGCAGTGGACAGCACACCACTCACAACATTCCAGTGGACACATACCACTCACTCACAACATTGCAGTGGACAGATGTACCACCACACAACATGCAGTGGACACAGACACATCACCAACATGCAGAGTGGACAGAGTACCACACACATCATGCAGTGGTCACTGTGTTACCACCACTAACCAACATGCATGTGGACACTGTAACACCAAAACACTACATGCAAGTGGGACACAGTACAGCCAAACACAACTAGGCAGTGGACAACAGTACCACCACACACAACATGCAGTGGACACAAGTTACCACCACAAATCATGCGTGACCACAAGTAACAAATCACACAAACACGCAGTGACACCAGTACCACCACTCACAACATGCAGTGGACACAGTACCACCAACATAACTATGCAGTGGCAAATCTCGTACCACACAAACATGCAGTGGACACAGGTACCACCACACATACCTACAGTGGGACACAGTACCTCCAACACTTCAAATGCAGTGGCAACACATACACACACACCTCAACATGCAGTGGTTACAGCTCCACCATACAACAGGAAGTGGACACAGGTACACACTCACAACATGCAGTGGGAGACACCAGTACCACCACACAACAATCATGCCAGTGGACACAAGTACACCACACACAACTTGCAGTGGACACTATAGTACCTTCACAGGACAACATGCAGTTTGGACACCAGTACCACAGGACAACATGGCAGTGCACACAGGACCACCAATCACAAATGGCAAGCGGACACAGTTCACCACATACCAAACATGCAGTGGACACAGTAACACCATACACAACATGCATTGACACAGTACTCCATCATAACTTGCAGTGGGACACTGTACACCTACAAACACGCAAGTGGACACAGAAACCTCACTTCACAAAAATGCAGTGGGACACAGTACCACCACTCACAACTGTGCAGTGGACACAGTACACACCACACAAACATGACGTGGACTCTCGCACCTCTCACACAACTGCAGTGGGACACAGTCTCCACCACATCACAACAATGCGTGCACACAGTATAACCACACTCCAACATGCAGTGGGCACTCAGTACACCATCACAACATATTGCTGGGGCGACACAGGACTAACACCACACAACATTGCAGGTGGGACACAGTACCACCACACAACATGCAGGGTCACAGTACCACCACTCACAACATGCATTGGATCAGTACCACCACACAATATGCATTGGACACTGTACCACCACTAACAACATGCAGTGGACACTCAAGGGCCACACTCAAATCGCAGTGGATAAGGACCACAAACAAAAATGCAGTGGACACAGCACCACCACCCAACAACTTGCAGTGGCCACGTACCCACCACACAACATGCAGTGGACCCAGTACCACACACAACATGCAGTGGACACAGTACCGCACACACTCAACATGAGTGGTACACCGTAGTTCCATGCACCCCCCCCCAACAAACAACTTGCAGTGGACACTGTACCACAACTCACAACATGCAGTGGACACAGTAACGCACATCAAATGCAGTGGACACAGCTCACCTACACACAAACATGCAGTGGACACAGTTCAACACAAACTTGCAGTGGACACAGTACCACCGACACTAACATGACAGTGGACCACAGTACCGCCACTCTCATCATGCAGTGGACACTGTACAAACACACACACTTGCACGTGGGATCAGTAGTAACACCACAATCATGCATGTGGACTCAGTACCAACAACACAACATGCAGTGGACACAGTACCACCACAAACATGCAGTGGACACAGTACGCACCACTCAACAGGAAGTGGACACAGTTCCAAACCACACACAACTTGCTGTCGGACACAGTACCACCACACAACATGCAGTGGACACTGTACGCCAACCCACTCAACATGGCAGTTGGACACAGCACCACCTCACACAACTTGCAGTGGACACAGTACCACAACGAACATGCAGTGTATCAGTAACACCACACAAATGCAGTGGACACACAGGTACCGCCACACTCACATGTCATGTGGACACAGTACCCACCCACACCAACCTTGCGTGGACATACTAGTACCACCACTCAACATGCAGTGGACACAGTACACCACGCTCAACATGCTGTGGACACAGTACCACATCAAATGCAGTGGGCACAAGTAGAACACAGTACCACCAACAACATACAGTGGAACACAGTACCACCACTCAACATGCAGTGGACTCAGTACCCACCACACAACATACTGTGGACACAGTACCACACCACTAACATGCAGTGGAACGCAGTACCTCCTCTCCCTACATGCAGTCGACACAGTACCACAACTGCACATACATGCAGTGGACAAAGTACCACCAACAACATGCGCGGACTCAGTACTAAAATCAAATGCAGTGGGACACTGTCCACACTCACAACATGCTCAGTGGACAAGTACCACCACTCACAAATGCAGGTGGACACAGTACCACCAATCACTAAACCATGCAGTGGTCACCATTGCCACCACTCACACACATGATAGTGGACACAGTACCACCATCACAAACCATGCTGTGGACACAGTACACACTCTACCAACATGCTGTGGGACCGGGAAGTGCCCACCACTCACCAACATGTGTGGAACACAGTACCACTCACACAACAAGCAGTGGACACTGTCCACCACACACAACGTGCAGTGGAAAACAGTACACCACACAAACATGCAGTGGAACACAGTCTTCACCCATACAAACATGCATCTGGGACAACAGTACCACCAACAAACAGCAGTGGGCACAGTACCACCACTCAATCAGCAGTGGACACAGTACCACCACAACACAACATGCAGTGACACAGTACCACCACACCCAACATGCAGTGGGACACAGTTACCACCACACACAACATTGCAGTAGGACCAACAGTACCACCACCACACAAATGAGTGGACACTACCACCACACAAAGATGCAGTGGACACTGTACCACCACACACAAACGTAGCGTGGTCACAGTACACACACAAATGCCGTGGAAACAGTATTGCCCCATACACAACATGCATTGGTCACAGTACCACCACACACAAACATGCAGTTGGACACTGTACCACCATTCATAATGCAGGGACCACAGTACCTCCAACACAACAACATTGCAGTGGACACAGTACACACAACAACCTGCCCCAGTGGAACAGTCCACCACCTCACAAACATGCAGTGGACACAGTACCCACCAACACAAAATGCAGTGGTCTCACAGTACCACCCACACAAACATGCAGTGGACACAGTACACCACACACAACATGCACGTGGACACTACCACCACGCACACAACATGCCAGTGGTCACAGACCACCATCTACATGCGCTGGACATACCACCTTCAACTGCATGTGGACATACCACACTCAACATGCAGGTGGACACTACCGCCACTCAAACATGCAGTGGACAACTAACACCTCACTCAACATGCAGTGCGACACTAGTACCACCACTCAACATGCAATGGACACAGTACCACACTCAACATGCAGTGGAAACAGTACACCACTCAACATGCATGGACACAGTCCCACCATCAACATGCAATGGACACAGGTACCACTTCAACATGCAGTGGACACTAGTACCACCACTCAACATGCATGGACACCCGTACCTACAACTCAACTGCAATGGACACAGTACCACACTCAAAATCGCAATGGACACAGTAACCCATCAACATGCAGTGGACACAGTACCCACCACTCAACATGCAATGGACAACGTAGTTCCACACTCAACATGCAGTGGACACAGTACCACCACTCAACATGCAGTGGACACTACCTCCACTCAACATGCAGTGGACACAGTACCACCACTCAACATGCAATGGACACAGTACCACCACTCAACATGCAGTGGACACAGTACCACCACTCAACATGCAGTGGACACAGTACCTCCACTCATACATGCAGAGTGGGACACAGTACCAACACTCAAACATGCTGTGCGACACCGTAACCACCACTCATCAAGCAGGGACACACGTACACACTCAACTGCAGTGGACACTACTCAATCAAACATGCAGTGGACCACAGTTAACCACTCAAATGCAGGGGACACAGTACACCACTCAAATGCAGTGGACAACAGTTACCACAACTCAAACATGCTGTGGACACAGTACAACCACTCTCAACATGCAGTGGACACAGTACCACCACTAAACATGCAGTGGACACAAGTAACGCAACACCACAACATGCAGTGGAACAGTACCACACACAACCAAGCCTGTGGACACAGTAACGCACACCAAACATGCAGTGGACATAGTACCCACACACAATTGCAGTGGACACAGTACCACACAAAACATGCACAGTCGGACACAGTACCACACAAACAACATGCAGTGGACCACAGTACCGCCACACTCAACATGCAGTGGCCTCAGTACCACACACCACACACCATGCTCAGTGGACTCCTGTACACACTCAACATGCTGTGGACTCAGTTCACCACACAAACATACAGTGGACACAGTACCAACACTCAACATGCAGTGGACACAGTACCACCACACAACATACAGTGGACACAGTACCACCACTTCAACATGCAGTGGACACAGTACCACCACTCAACATGCAGTGGACACAGTACCACCACGCTCAAACATGCAGGGATCACACCTCCACTCAAACATGCAGTGAGACACAGTCACAGCACTCAACATTGCAGTGGTACACAGTACCTCCACTCACATGCAGTGGTACACAGTACCAGCACTAAACTGCAGAGGCACCTAGTACCACCACTCAACATGCAGTGGACACAGTACCACCACTCAACATGCAGTGGACACAGTACCACCACTCAACATGCAGTGGACACAGTACCACCACTCAACATGCAGTGGACACAGTACCACCACTCAACATGCAGTGGACACAGTACCACCACACAACATGCAGTGGACACAGTACCCACACTCAACATGCAGTGGACACAAGTACCCCTCACACAACTTGCAGTGGACATAGTACCACCACACAACTCATGCAGGGCGACACAGGGTCCACCACACAACATGCAGTGGTACACAGTACCGCACTCAACATGCAGTGGTCACAGTACCACCCACACAACTTGCACGTGGACACAGTACCACCCACTTAAACATGCAATGGTGACACCAGTTCCACCACACATCTACAAATTGCGGACACAGTACCTCCCACTCAACATGCAGTGACACCAGTACCAACAAAACAACATACAGTGGAAACTGTACCCCACTCACACACGGCAGTGGACACAGTACCACTCTCACAACATGCAGTGGACACAGTACATCACTCACATCATGCAGTGGGACACAGTACCACACACAACATGCAGCGGACTCACTGTACCACCACTTCAACTGCAGTGGACACAGTACCACCACTCACAAACATGCAGTGTGACACAGTACAACACTCACAACATGCAGGGACACAGTACCACCACTCAACAACATGCAAGTGGTCTCACAGTGCAACCACTCCAACATGTATGGTGGACACTGAGTACCACCCACACACAACATGCAGTGGAACACAGTTACCAACACTCACAAATGCAGTGGGCACCTTACCACCACTCTACAACATGTAGTGGACACTGAGTACACCACAACACAAACATGACAGTGGTCCACAAGGTAGCAACAACACACGTTGCAGTTGGAAACCGAAGTACCACCACACAAATGCAGTGGACACAGTATCAACATACTCAAAATTGCATTGGACACAGTACCACCACTCATCATGCATTGGACACCCAGTACCCCACTCACATGCAGTTGGACACAGTACCACACTCAACATGCAGTGGACACAGTAACACCACCTCAACATTTGCAGTGGACACCGTACCACCACACAACATTACAGTGGGACATCAGATCACATCACATGCAGTGGACACAGTACCACCTCTCACAACATGAACAGGTGGACACAGTAACACCACTCACAACATGCAGTCGGCACAGTACCATACAGCACAACATGCAGCGGAAACAGTAAATAGTACCACCACTCAACATGCAGTGGAACACAGTACCACCATCTACAACATGCAGGGACACAGTAACCACCACACAACATTACAGTGGACAAGTACCAACCACTCAACAGGCAGTGGACCACAGTACCACACACAACATACAGTGACACAGTCACACTCAACATGCATTGGACACAGTACCACCTCTCTCAACATGCAGTGGACACAGTACCACCCACTCACAACATGCAGTGGGAAACAGTTCACACACACAAACATGCAGCGGACACAGTACAACACTCAACTGCAGTGGACACAGTACTCCATCAAACATGCAGTGGACACTGTACCCCACTCACAACATGCAGTGGACACATACACCACTCACAAATGCAGTGGACACAGATGCCACCACTCACAACTTGTAGTGGACTCCAAGTACCCACCACACACAACATGCAGTGGACACAGTACAACTCACAACATGCAGTGGACCACAGTGCAACCACTCTCAACATGTAGTGGACACAGTACTACCACACACAACATGCAGTGGACACAGTACCACCACACACAACGTGCAGTGGAAACAGTACCACCACACAACATGCAGTGGACACAGTATCACCATACACAACATGCATTTGACAACAGTACCACCACTCAACATGCAATGGAACATGTACACACACTCAACATGCAGTGGACACAGTACCACCACTCAACATGCAGTGGACACAGTACCACCACTCAACATGCAGTGGACACAGTACCACCACTCAACATGCAGTGGACACAGTTACCACCACTCAACATGCAGTGGGACCCACAGTACCACCATAACATGCAATGGACACAGTACCACCACTCAACATGCAGGGTGGAGACACAGTCCACCACTCAACTTGCAGTGGACACTAAAGTACCACCACTCATAAATGCAGGTGTTTTGGGACCACAGTCCACCAATCAACATGCAGTGGAACAGTACCACCACTCAAACAGCAGTGGGACACAGTACCACCCCTCAACATGCAGTGATCACAGTACCACCACTCAACATGCTGTGGTCACAGTACCACCACTCAACATGCAGGTGGACACAGTACCACCAACTCACATGCATGGACACAGTAACACCACTCAACATGCAGTGGACACAGTACCACCCACTCAACATGCAGTGAGAACACGTACCACCTCTATACATGCAGTGGGACCAGTCACCACCACTCACTATGCAGTGGAACACAGTTACCACCACTCAACATGCTAGAGGGACACGTACCACCACTCAACATGCATGGACACAAGTACTCCACCACTCAACATGCAGTGGTACAGTACCACCACTCCAACATGAGTGGACACAGTCCCACCACTATACATGTCTTGTGGACACAGTACCACCACCTCAACATGCAATGGAACACAGTACCCACCATAACATGCAGTGGGACACAGTACCACCACTCAACATGCAGTGGACACAGTACCACCAGACACAATATGCAGGGACAAGTACCACCACACACATGCAGTGGACACTAGTACCCACCACTACAAATGCTGTTGGATACAGTACCACACTCAACATGCTGTGGAATTCAGTACCACACTCAACATGGCAGTGGACACAGTTTCCACTATCAACATGCAGTGGACATAGTACCACCACTCTCAACATTATAGAAATACCAAAAATGGGCACAGTACCACTACTCACAACATGCAGTCGGACTACAGTACCACCACACTTCATGCCATGTTGGGGGACACTGTATCATACACACAACATGCAGTGCGGGGGGGGGACACAGAGTACCACACTCAACATGCTGTTGGACACAGTTACACCTACTCACAACATGCAGTGGACCCACAAGTACACACTCACAACATGCAAGTGGACACAGTACCACCACAACTAACATTGCAGTGGACACTGTACCACCACTCAACATGCAGTGGACCAGTACACCTCTCACAAAATGATGTGGACTCAGTACCTCCTCACTCACAAACATGAGTCGGGACACAAGTAACACCACACAACATGCAGTGGTACTAGTACCACTAAACATGCAAGGGACACAAGTACCACCACTCACAACTTGCCAGTGGACACTGTACACAATCACAACATGCAGTGGACACAGTACCACCACTCACAACATGCAGTGGACACAGTACCACCACTCACAACATGCAGTGGACACAGTACCACCACTCACAACATGCAGTGGACACAGTACCACCACTCACAACATGCAGTGGATCACAGTTACCTCACTCACAACATGCAGAGGACACTAGTACCACCACTAACAATGCAGTGGACACAGTACACCACTCAAAATGCAGTTGGACCACTCAGTACACAACCTACTATAACATGCAGTGGACACTGTACACCATCACAAATGCTCAGGTGGACACAGTACCACCACTCACAACATGCAGTGGACACAGTACCACCACTCACAACATGCAGTGGACACAGTACCACCACTCACAACATGCAGTGGACACAGTACCACCATCACAACATGCAGTGGACACTAGTACCACCACTCACAACATGACCAGTTAGACACAGTACCACCACTCACAACAATGCAGTGGACCCAGTACCCCCACCCCCCCCCCCCCCCCCCCACCAAACACAACATACAGTGGACACAGTACCTCCACTCACAACATGACAGTGGTCACAGTACCCTCACTCACAACATCAGTGGACACGTACCCACTCACAAAATACGTTGGTCACACGTACAACACTCAACATGCAGTGGAACAGTACCACCACTCACAACATGATAGTGGACACATTACCAACCACACACAAACATACAAGAGGACACTAGTACCACATCACAAATGCATTGGACACAGTACCAACACTCACAACATGCGGTCGGACAACAGTACCACAACTCACAAACATGACAGTGGTCACAGTACCACCACTCAGTGTACGGAACTTACTATCGCACACGCTGTGGCTACGCTCTAGACTGCCACGTATCTACTGGGGAACCATCGAAACAACATGCATGGGTGCCATCAACTCCCCCAGTTGCACAGATCCAAAGGACCATTTGGATTTGGCACGGGCCGTTAACATGGTCTATCTCCAGACATCAGGTGAGTGGACCGTTGCAGCATGGGATGAGCAGGCTGTTGCATGGCATGAGCAGGCAGTAAAATGGATGAGCAGGGACAGTAACATGGATGAGCAGGCAGGAAGTAACATGGTGAGCACGGCAGTAAAAATGGAATGAGCAGGCAATAAACATGGATGAGCAGGCTCAGTAGCAGGATGAGCAAGCAGTAGCATGGAATGAAGCCGGCGTAAAATGGATGAATGAGCAGGTGTAACGCATGGGTATGAGAGGGCAGTTATAGTAACATGGAATGAGCAGGCACCATATACACTGGATGACGGGCAGGACGCATGGATGAGAGGCCAATAACATGATGAGAGGCGTTGCAATGGAATGAGAGGCAGTTAAAATGGACAGGATGGAGCAGGGCCAGTAACATGGTATGAGAAGGCAGTGGCAGTAAAATGGATGAGCAGGCAAGTAAAGTAACATGGAATGAGAAGGCATTAGTCCAGTAATGGGGTAGAGCAGGCTGTAACATGGATAGAGCTAGTAGACATGGAATGAGGGCAGTAAACTGGATGAGCAGGCAGTGACATGGCGGTGAGCAGGCAGTAGTAACATGGATCGAGCAGGCACAGTAACATGGAGATGAGCAGGCAAGTAACTTGGGTTGAGAGGCAGTCAGTAAACATGGATGCGCAGGCAGTAACATGGGTGAGCAGGTCCAGTAACATGGATGAGCATGTCAGTAACTTGGATGAGCAGCAGTATAAATACATGGATGAGGCAGCAGTAACATGGATGAGAAAGGCAGTAAACAAGGATGAGCAGCAAGTTAGTAACATGGATGGCAGGCAGTAGTAACTTGGAATGTGCAGGCAGTAAATGGAATGAATGAGCAGGCAGAGTAACATGGGATTGAGCAGGCTAGAGTAACATGGATGGAGCAGGCAGTAACATGGTCGTGAGCAGGCAGTAAACATGGAATGAGCAGGAGTTAACATGGATGAGCATGCGTAACATGGATGGGCAGGCAAGTAAAATGGCACAATGAGCACAGCAGTAAACATGGATGAGAGGCTAGTAAAATGGATGAGCAGGCCAGTAACTGGATGAGATGGCAGTAACATGGAATGAGCAGGCTGTCACATGGATGAGCAGGCAGTAAACTGATTTGAGCATGCCAAGTAACATGGATGAGCAGGAGTAACTTGGTGAGCAGGCCATTACATGGATGAGCAAGCGAGTACGTAATCTTGGATCATGAGCAGGCAGTAACATGGCATGAGCAGGCAGTTAGTTAGTATAACATGGTTGAGCAGACAGTAACATGATGAGCAGGAGAGAAAACATGGCGTGAGAGGCAAGTAACATGGGAGCCAAGTGAAGGCAAGTAACATGGGTGAGCAGGCCAGTAACATGGATTGTTCAGGCTAAGTAACATGGAGTGAGCAGGCAGTGACATGAGATGCGGAAGCAGTAGTAAACATGGATGTATGAGCAGGCAGTAGTAACATGTAATGAGAGGCATAACATGGATGTAAGAGGCAGGCAGTACATGGATGAGGAAGCAGTAACATGAGTGAGCAAAGCAGTAACATGGATGTAGCAGGCGAACATGGATGAGCAGGCAGTAACATGGATAAGAGGCTCAGTAACATGGAGTGAGCAGGCAGTAACATGCACGACCCGACTTCCCCCCCCCCACGTTGATGAGCAGGCAGTAAAATGATGAGCAGGGCCGTAAACATGGTTGTGCAGGAGTAACATGGGTGAGCATGGCAATACATGGCATGAGGGAGCAGTAAATGAATGTGAGCAGGCAGTAACATGGATGAGCAGGCGTTGTAGTACATGGAGGAGCAGGCAGGTATGTAACTATGGAAATAAGCAGGCAGTAACATGGTTGACAAGGCGAACAGGCTGTAACTTGGATGTATGAAGCAGGCAAGTAACATGGATGAGAAGGCAAGTTTACATGGCGTGAGCACGGCTGTAGTAACATGGATCTAATGAGCAGGCAGTACATGGTGTGAGCTGGCGTAACATGGGCATGAGATGAAGCAAGTAGTAACCATGAGTGCGTAGGCAAGTAACCATGGCGTGAGCAGGCAGTAACATGGATGAGCAGATCAGTAACATGGATGAGCAGGCAGAGTAACATGGAATAAAGCAGGCAGTAACATGAGTCGTAGCAGGCGCCAGTAACATGGATGAGCAGGCTGTAGCTAACTTGGTTGGCAGGCAGTAACATGGATGAGCATTGCAGTAACATGGAATAAGACTGGGCAGAAGTAACATGGAATAAGCAGGCAGTAACATGGTTGAGCAGGCAGTAACATGGATAAGCAAGGCAGTAACATGGAATGAGCAGGCAGTAACCATGGCATAGCTGCAGTACATAGGATAGCAGGCAGTAACATGGATAAGCAGGCAGTAACATGGATAAGCAGTCAGTAACAAGAATGAGCAGGCCAGTAAACATGGATAAGGCAGGCCAGTAGTTAACATGGGCTTGAGCAAGGCCAAGCTAACATGGATATAAGCAGGCAGTAACATGGATGAGCAGGCGTTACATGGATATGCAGGCCAGAGTAACATGGACATAAATGAGCAGGCAGTAACATGGTAAGCAGGCAGTAACATGGATGAGCAGGCAGGTATCATGGATGAGCAGCAGTAACATGGTTAAGCAGGCAGTAGTCAGTAACATGGATGAGCAAAGCAGTAAAATGGATAAGAGGCAAGTAACATGGCATAAGATGCAAAGTAACATGGCATGTGCAGGCAGTAGGTAACATGGATATAAGCAGGCAGTAAGTACAGTACGAGTTAACATGGATGAGCAAGCAGTAAACACTGGATTAAGCAGGCTGAGTAACATGGCTAAGCAGGCTGGTCAAAGTAACATGGATAAGCAGGCAGTAACATGGATAAGTCTATGACAAGATTGGGAAATTAGACACCAGTGCAACTCTTGGGTATCTTTAATAAGGGAACGTTTCGCCACACAGTGGCTTCATCAGTCCTATACAAATAAGAATGATGAACCTCAGAAGGAATTTAAGGTAATCAGTCCCACAGCCCGGAGTCCATTACATACGTCCTTGTGTTTGATTATATATCTTTTTAGCCCGGCGGAGACTCCAGTAGTGTCAGCCTGAGCTGGGAGTCTCCAGTAGTGTCAGCCTGAGCTGGGAGTCTCCAGTAGTGTCAGCCTGAGCTGGGAGACTCCGGTAGTGTCAGCCTGAGCTGGGAGACTCCAGTAGTGTCAGCCTGAGCTGGGAGTCTCCAGTAGTGTCAGCCTGAGCTGGGAGACTCCGGTAGTGTCAGCCTGAGCTGGGAGACTCCAGTAGTTTTCAGCCTGAGCGGGGAGACTCCAGTAGTGTCAGCCTGAGCGGGGGAGACTCCATTTGTGTCAGCCTGAGTGGGAGACTCCAGTAGTGTCAGCCTGAGCTGGGAGACTCCAGTAGTGTCAGCCTGAGCTAGGAGCCCTCGAGTAGTGTCAGCCTGAGCTGGGAGACTCCAGCATTTGTCAGCCTGGAGCTGGGAGTCTCCAGTAGTGTCAGCCTGGCCTGGGAGCTCCAGTATGTCAGCCTGAGCTGGGAGACTCCAGTAGTGTCAGCCTGAGCTGGAGTCTCCATTTAGTGTCGCCTGAGCGGGGAGATTCCAGTAGTGTCAGCCTAGCTGGGAGACACCAGTAGTGTCAGCCTGACTGGGAGACACCAGTAGTGTCAGCCTGAGCTGGGAGACTCCAGTAGTGTCAGCCTGAGCGGGGAGACACCAGTGTGTCAGCCTGAGCTGGGAGACATCCAGTAGTGTCAGCCTGACCTGGGAGACTCCAGTAGTGTCAGCCTGAGCTGGGACACCAGTAGGGGTCAGCCTGAGCTGGGAGACACCAGTAGTGTCAGCCTGAGCTGGGAACACCAGTAGTGTCAGCCTGAGCTGGAAGACACCAGTAGTGTCAGCCTGAGCTGGGAGACACCAGTAGTGTTAGCCTGAGCTGGGAAAATCCAGTAGTGTCAGCCTGAGCGGGGAGACACCAGTAGTGTTAGCCTGAGCGGGGAGACACCAGTAGTGTCAGCCTGAGCTGGGAGACACCAGTAGTGTTAGCCTGAGCTGGGAGACCCCAGTAGTGTCACCTGAGCTGGGAGAACCAGTAGTGTTAGCCTGAGCTGGGAGACACCAGTAGTTGTCAGCCTGGGGCTGGGAGAACCAGTAGTGTCACCCTGAGCTGGGAGACACCAGTGTGTTAGCCTGAGTGGGAGACTCCAGTAGTGTCAGCCTGAGCTGGGAGACACCAGTAGTGTCAGCCTGAGCTGGGAGACTCCAGTAGTGTCAGCCTGAGCTGGGAGACACCATAGTGTCAGCCTGAGCTGGGAGACACCAGTATGTCAGCCTGAGCTGGGAGACACCAGTAGTGTTAGCCTGAGCTGGGAGACTCCAGTAGTGTCAGCCTGAGCTGGGAGACTCCAGTAGTGTCAGCCTGAGCTGGGAGACACCAGTAGTGTCAGCCTGAGAGCTGTGGAGACTCAGTAGTGTCAGCCTGAGCTGGGAGACTCCAGTAGTGTCAGCCTGAGCTGGGAGACACCAGTAGTGTCAGCCTGAGCTGGGAGAAACCAGTAGTGTCAGCCTGAGCTGGGAGACACCAGTAGTGTTAGCCTGAGCTGGGAGACACCAGTAGTGTCAGCCTGAGCTGGGAGACACCAGTAGTGTCAGCCTGAGCTGGGAGACACCAGTAGTGTCAGCCTGAGCTGGGAGACACCAGTAGTGTTAGCCTGAGCTGGGAGACTCCAGTAGTGTCAGCCTGAGCTGGGAGACACCAGTAGTGTCAGCCTGATCTGGGAGACTCCAGTAGTGTCAGCCTGAGCTGGGAGACACCAGTAGTGTCAGCCTGAGCTGGGAGACACCAGTAGTGTCAGCCTGAGCTGGGAGACACCAGTAGTGTCAGCCTGAGCTGGGAGACTCCAGTAGTGTCAGCCTGAGCTGGGAGACACCAGTAGTGTCAGCCTGAGCTGGGAGACTCCAGTAGTGTCA